ATTTGCCCAGTGTGGGTGGTTGAATGGCATCTACTGAGGCTTGAACCATTAAACTCAACTCTGCTCTGAGTGATCACTATAGAAGGTCAGTTAGGTGGCTTTTGTACTGAAATTACCATTATGGAATCCAAAGTTGTAGAACTCATGATAAGATTTTTACTGCCTACAAAAGTGTTCAGAAACAAGAGGAATAATTCCTTCTGACCTGTTTAGTCAGCTACCGGTAATGAGCAAAAGTCTTACTGCTAAATCAATGAAGCAAAATGAATGCTTATTAGTGGTAGACAACTTGCAGACCCCCTTTCTGAAAGGCATTCTTATTGCCATAGGCACCTCAATGCAACAAAATTTGCTCTGCAGAAAAGTCAATAAAAAGTTAACCTTCCAGAGATAAAAAGAATCAACAAATTCTCCATGATATTGAAGACAAAAATGGCAAACAAAGTGAAGGATCCAGATGGTATTGCTGATGTGGCAATCAAAAGAAAACTGAAGGGACAGACAAGAACCATACCCAGTAGCACATGCTTTAAAGGGTGAGCTTCCAGCTAAAATATTCCAAAGATTTTCATCATTGTCCTGTAAAAGAGCATCATCCCAGATATGTCATATACCAAAGCCACAATGTAAAATCAAAAGTTTTAAAAAGCTTTGAATGGGACCTGAGAAGCTGTTTAAAAAAAAAAAAAGTATTGGATAACTGGCATTTGCAATACAAGCTGCTAAAAAATGTTTTCCATAGAACATATGTTTTAAAGTGTGGCCCACCAAGACTCTTTGTAAAAGATAATTTTCTGCTGCAAACTAAATAAAGACAGGACTTGGAACCAAAAGAACTGAACTATATAGCAAAAGTCTTCTTCGACAATTCACTCAAGTTATTTAATCCACCAGGTGTCAAGAACAGTCTTCACAGTGACCCTGCAGATGCTCCACCAATGCTCCACAGTTAACCTGCAGATGTCCCACCCTGCAGATGCTCCACCTTCCTGACCCAGAAGGAATTGGGTTGTCCTGACAGGGTCGCTGGCTGACACTTGAAGAATGCAATAAAAATAAGACTTGTTTTTATCCTTATCACCCTTATCACCACAACATAGGCTCTAACAAAGGCTCTCACTTGTGTCTGGTTGAATTCACTCCTGCAGTATTTGACTGCAAGTCCTATAATCTCTACCAGCAACAGATTGGGTGAAATGTCTTAGCTGCTTTTTGCTTTGATATACATATAATTGTTTCCTGTGGTTTGAAATCTCATAATTTTAGATTTTATTTTGGGGGTTGTGGTGAACCTTTAATAATAACTTAGATAATCAGATGTAATGTTTACTCATGGTTAAAAGTTGGATCTATACAATTTCCATAAATTTATATGCTACTTTTGAGTCAATCAGTAGAAAGTACGTTTGGCATATCACAATGACATACTCTTCAAGTGAAATACTTATCACCCAAACTTCAGAATTACACCAAATGATAATTCTTACCTGTAACAAGCAGTTCCATAAGGACATTCAGGCCTATCATCATCAACCTGAGTTACAGCTTCTGTGTCATGATAATCGCTATCACCAGGGTGACTAAACTGCTGGAAATGTACAGGATTCTTTCTGTGAAATTTAGAAATACTAAATCAACTATCAAGATGTATTTCAAACGTATGCAGCTGGGGGAAATACAACACAACTAATTCAATTAAACTATTGTGGATGAAACAGTTAAAACAAGCTAATATAAACAATAAAAACCAGGAGCATATATAATAAAAACGTTTCAATTAAAATTAAAGGAAGCAAGCAGTTCTTTTTTTAATCCTACCCCAATTGGGGATAGCTAAATGGAGTATGAGAGAATTTCATAGAGCAGAGGTCACCATTAAGAAGTCCCTATTTTTTTACTGCCCCTTACAGATTATGGTAACACACAGGCATCTTCCCCTCTTTCATTATTTTGAAAGGGTAGGATAGACTGCTTTTACCAGCTGAGAACCTGTCTGCTGACTTTTAACTCAAGTGAATGACAAGCCTTTCCAAAAGAAGAACAAGCTGAAATTAAGATATTACTTTAGGAGTAAGAATCTTCAGTTACTCTTCAGTTATCCAGGGCAAAATCATATTCTTCAGTTATTGTAAATCTATTTAAAATAGGGATAACTATTACTTTGCTTTGCTATTTTCAGTCTTTCTAGCTTCAAGCTATAACTAGTTGATGACTGCAGGTGATTTAGTCCTATTTCAGTTCCTTATTTTATGAGGGGAAGAACAATGACCATTCAATAGTAATGATAATATGACAAAGTGAAAGTGAAACATAAAATACTTTCCAAAATTCCTAGGAATCAATATGGCATTGCTAAATAGCCCCAAAAGGATTATGAAATACATAAACTATTATATTATACAAAGTACAGTATGTAATATAAGTTTGTGACTATGAAAGCTTGGTAATTGTAGTTGGAATATTATATATGAGATTGTTTGAAGATAACTTAGAAACTTCAGCTAGTGTTACTGCCAGTTTTTGAAGTGGTTCATCCAAAATTGTTCTAAAAACCGCACTGTCTTAACTATATTAACAAAATGCCCCATGAAACTATACATTTCAGACACAACTCAAACATACTATACTGCCAATCTAACAGGGCATTGTTTATGTTCTTCTATTCTTACAAGCATGCATATAGATACATACAGGTGAAACTCGAAAAATTAGAATATCGTGCAAATGTTCATTTATGTCAGTACGG